GGAGTAGAAAAGCCTTGTCTTTCTTCCTTGGATCAGCTGGTTGTTTTCATCTGCTGACCTTGACGATATCAGCCCAACATGTAACCCCTATGCCAGCAGGGCTCCTTTTATGAATATGTTGTTGTTATTAGTTGCTGTTGAATTTGATCCACGGTGACCCTGTGCACAACAGAACCAGTCACTGCCCGATCCTTCACCATCCTCACAATTGTCCCTCTGCTTCACCCCACTGTTGCAGCCACTATGTCAGTCCATCTGCTTGAGGGTCTTCCTCTCTTTTGCTGCCCCTCCACTTCCTGACAACAAGTCCAAAGTATGTAAGACGAAGTCTCGTCACCCTCCCTCTAAGGAGCACGCTGGCCTTACTTCTTCCAAGACAGATTTGTTTTACCTTTTGGCAATCCATGGTACTGTCAATATTCTTCACTAGCACCACCATTCAAGCACATAGATTCTTCTGTCTTCCTTCTTTGTCATCCAGTATGATGATGGAGAGTGATCATTGAGATGAGAAGAAAGAACAGGGTTCTATGAAAGAGAAAAACAAGCAAGAGCTCTTTGGAATTTTGTTGGTCAGGAAAGAACATTTAAGCTGAAAGTCAAGTACAAGAAGAAGCTAAGAACGAGTAGGGGGAGTAGCATTCTAGGCATACTCACGGCCATGGAGTCCATGCTGACTCATAGTGAGCTCCTGTGGGTTTCTGAGATTGTGACTCTTTACCGGAGTAGAGAGCCCAGTCTTTCCCTCTCAGGACTGCTGATGGTTTCGAACTGCTGACCATGCATATTGAAGCCCAACTAGTAACCACTATACCACCAGGGCTCCTATGGAGCAGCATATGCGAAGGTCCTACGGTTGTTGCTTTTCAAACTAAAAGACGTTCAGTGGAGTCCAGCACAGTATTAATAGAAAGCGATGATGAACGCAGAAGTTGAAGAAGTCATCAGTGACCTCGTGATGAGGGCCTCTGGCTATACTTAAGGGGAACATGTAACCCCAGTGGCCCCAGGATAGTTTGGTTCAGGCCTGTTGTCCTAGATAATTATTAATAGTCTCCTTTTACTCTTAAAGATGTCCTGATTTTGACAATAAATTATATGGAGACTGGGGCTACATTAAATAATTTTAAAATTATTTAATAATTAAATGAATTTTATTCTAAATCTAATTGGGAGGGTGCTCTGAAGAGTTTTAAAAGATAATCTTTTCTTGCATTTTATTTGAAATGTGTTGAATTTTAAGGAGGAGAGTGATATAGTAAGTTTCAGATGGCGTGGTAAGAATGAATTCCAGAGAAAAGCGTGGAGGCTATTAGGAGACTGGAAGGTAGATGCCGCTGCCTTTGGCAAGGATGGTGACAGGGAAGATGAAGAGATGTGAATGGATTTAAGATATATTTCGGAGTTAGACTGGATAGATGTTAGTGATGAATTACATATGCAAGGAGAGAGAGGAATTGCATAGATAACCCTTAGGTTTCTGGCAAGTTAAACCTTACTACTGGGTGACATTGATGCAATGTTTGAAAATGGTCTCAAAAGGGGGCAGACACTGAGTGAAGAAAGAGGAAAATAAGTGTTCAATTTTGGATTTGCTCAATATGAGATGCCTAGGAAATAGCAAGTGTTTGGCTCAAGCATAAGCGATTAGTCTAGGGTAAGGATGCAGATGAGGGAGAAAGATGAGGCTTTCTATTCCCAGAAAGAAATACAGTCTTGGAAACGCACAGTAGGGAGTGCTACCCTGTTCTATAGAATTGCTGTGGGACCACGATTGACTTGATGGCAGCGAAAGGGAGCAGAGAAATAAAGACCTGTGGCTCAGACCTCTGTTTTCTGAATCCCGGGTCCTCTAGTCCCAAGACACCATCTAGAACATGTAGCTACATTTGACTTTCACGTCATGCCAGGTTCTTATGATGGATGCTTGCAATGGATGTTACAGCATTTGCTAGAGGGCAGTTTGTTGCCTCAGGGACCTAAATGTACACATAAATACCTTTCTGAAATTGTAGAACAAACCATCCAATATATATATGTGTGAGTGTGTCTAATGAGAAGATCAGATCAGATAGATAGATACATAGATAGATAGATGGTAAGAGTATTGGGTCTGCAATAGTGAGGTCTGAGGGGCCGGCCCCAATCCCAACTACTTGGACAGCCCTACCCCCTCAACCCACCTGGCCACAGAAGATTTCATTTCAGAGGACAACACTGAAGCTACAGCTCAGGGAGAGGGACATGTCTGATCAGAGCACACAGGACCAAATGAAGGGGGAGGAAGAAAGAGTAGAGCACATCCTGGCCCACCCAACCCTGAGGACCATATCCCTGCTCAGAGCAGCCAATGCACAGAGAGGACCATATGGCTGGCCCCACTATGAGACACGACATCCCTCACTCACCCATATCCCTACAAAGGACAACACTGGAGACACAGTGTGGGAATTGAGCCTAATTTGACTCCACCACACTGAGGCAAAACACTAAGGGCATGCAACAGTACAGCAAGGGGAACAGAGCAAGGAAGTCCCAAGGGAATAGCAAAAATAGACTTTGAGGCCAGGGCGTGGCACCCCATCAGACTCGACCAGAAAATACTCCTAAAGGTCAACAATCAGATCTTGAACTATTTATAGGCTTTTCTCTTTTTTTTGCCATTGATTTGTTGTTGTTGTGTTTTGTTGCTTTGTTTTGCTCTTTCTTGTTTTTGTGCACATTATTATCTCTGCATGTCTATCTAGATAAGGAGAAAACAACAGGGCTGATGGTTCTAGGGGAGCATGGGAGGTGGGGAGGTGGGGGAAAGGAAGTGGGTGTTAACAAACCCAGGGACAAGGGAACAACAAGTGATCCAAAATTGATGGTGAAGAGGGTGTAGGAGGCTTGGTAGGGCTTGATCAGGGGCAATGTAACTGAGAGGAATTACTGAAACCCAAATGAAGGCTGAACATGATA